GGTACTATAGAATGTCACCTCAAGGTAGGCCTAGTGGCGTCATCTCTAGGTTAGGCCGGAAACTTATCAATCCACCCTCGTATATACATCTAATTACTAAAGTGCTGGAAGAAATTTCAACCGGATTACCGGATTTTATTACCAACAACAATTACTTCCTTAAAACCATTAATAAGTAATACCTGTATAACAATAAATTATAATTTATTTACAACTTCAGATGGTATACCTAACAACGTTTCTTGAGGTCAACAACATCAAAAATTGTTAAATAGACGGAAAATGGGTGTAGTTTCAACTATATGCATATTTATTACATTATTGCAATTCTAGTAAAACGTTTGAGAATAAATCCAATTAATTTAAAACAAAAATGATTGGGTCTGTTCACTCACGAAATGACAGTTATTTTGCAAATATTCGTGGACACCTTCACGTAATCGCAACAAGGAAAATAGAAGGTTGACAAACACCAAGTTAAAATTCTCGGATATTTTTGTAATTAAGCGCCAACAGGCCTCAGAAAAATAAAACAAGCGAGTATTTATGGAACCTGTTCGACCACTAGTTTGAATGTTAAACAGTGCCGAAGGCTGACTAAATTTTAAATAAGACAACTTTTACAACAAACAATCTACAGAAAAAAGCCACGTCTGTGTTAAATTGCAAGGCTGTAGCATCTCCAGTCAAATGCTTACTTTAATGGTGAGTTTAGAACCGATTATAGGGATGGATACTCTTTTAGAGAGCACTTTCGATAGTTTAGATTTGGTCTGAAAATGCACTGTTTTTGAGAAAAACACAACCGTCACGGTTTACATTTATCGTCAATGGAACCGCTTAGTTGTTATCGCAGTTTCTCAATACTTTGCCAATTCACGTCCAGGGTCGGCTTCGGATTGCAACTCTGGTTCTCTTACAAGTTTTTTGTCCTTAACGTAATCTAACTTAAACTAACCACACTGTTTTACTCATCATGCAATTCCCTATAACACCCTCAAAATCTTGCTACTTATTTCAGAAAACTTATAATGAATAATTTAGAAACTTCACACTTTCGAAGATAATAATATTGTTGTTGCTACCTCTGTCTTGATACCTACACGTAGCTTTTTATGGTAAAGCGAAAGTATGGGGCAGATACACATACACGTATATGTAACGCACGATAACCTCTGAACAGTGATAAGCAATTTAAATTTTATACAAATGCAAATTGGAACCTAGGACATGTATAAAAATATGAAACCCACTCGCTTAAAAACAAATTTGCAAAACAAATGTGCACTATTCCCGAAGCATTTTACTTTTAAAATTCAATCAAACAGTTCAACAATACCAGCACCTACTTATTGTGAAAAACATTACAATTATAGACAATCAACTGAAAAAGAAATTGACGTCAATATCAACATGTCATGCATTGTTTTAATTTACCTACCTGACATTAGATAGTATTGGAGAGGTATTTATACCTATCATTAAAAATGTGTACATTGGCTAGAATTACAAGTAACTAATAAACAACTTTACATTTTGGTATCAAACATAGGAACAAATTTATCAAATTTGTCTTGCCTTTTTCTGAATTTTTTACGAATAAGTGATTGCAAACCATATTTTTATTATTTTAACATGTACATAGATATATTGACCAGTCATTTTCATTAATAACAACTTCTTTCGGTTGTTTTTTATAATTTTTTCAACATAGGTCATTTACCCACCTATCAATGGATACTATCGCAACTACAGTAGTACAACTATGATGAATGAAAACGTAACCATTAAATAATTTCATTCATAAACTGCAGCTTCCAAAAGGATGCTTGATCTGTTAAAACGTTTACATATTTTTTTTTTAATACCATAGCACTCATTACATTGTTTTTATCGCCAAAGAAATTGTGTTTCGAGCGTATGAAAAACAAACGTTTTAAATATATTAAGTAAATAGATGCTTACCTACCAAAGTTTCTAACGACAAAAGCTACAATAAAACTCTTATGAACCTACAGAGTCAGTTGTAGACGATGATAAAACTACATTTTGTATGAGTGTAGGTGCTGAGGTGTAGACGTGTTCTTAAAATAATCTTCAAGGTAGTTTCACTTTCTCAAAAATATACATTCTCATATAAGGAAACTCTATTCATGGAAGCTTTCTAAGTAGTTGTCATAACTATTAGTCAAAGCTAATTCAATTTAATTCAAGGTGTACAGTTTTAATCGGTACATAGTAACATTGTGAAGGCAGAATCTTATGCTTCCACACAGTAATTAAGGTAGAAGCTTGAACCTTCGCTTCTAATAAAAGGAAGAGATTCCTCAGTGACAAAGTGAAACATATTCAAATAATACAGGAAAAGAAAAAGGCATTTAAATGTTTCAAAACTTTATTGTTGTGGAGCTTGGTAGCTATTATCAAACGTATAAGGCACCTAGGTATATGAAGCTATCAGGACGTCATATTTCTGATTTCTAAAGTGCACTATAATCATCGCTAGTTTGTTATCAAATCGAAAAATTTGTCGATTCAGTCTGTTACTGGCAAATAGATGACATGCTAGCCTAAATCAAGTGACACAACACATAGAGTATCTCGAAATAAGAGCTATTTTGTCGTTAATTTGTTGCTGAAAGATGGTAATTTTACCCATTTTGTCGCTGGTACATTCACCACCTGTCCAGAGAAAGACGATTGGAAAGTCGTCTAGTTGGCAATACATATAGCTTATAGCAAAATAGAAAGAATAGTAAAGAAATACCATGAGGGCTATAATTTGTCGCTGAAAGATGATATTTTTACCCATTTTGTCGCTGTTATATCAACCAGCTGTCCAGTGAAAAACGACTGGAAAGTCACAAAGCTAGCACTACACATAGCTATCTTCAAATAGAAATGGCGCAAGAGGGACTATAATTTGTCGCAAAAACATGGTACTTTTACCCATTTTATCGCTAATCTCATTCTCCATCTGTCCAACGAAAAACGACAAAACTGCTGTCAAGGTGGCACTACANTTGGAAAGTCGTCTAGTTGGCAATACATATAGCTTATAGCAAAATAGAAAGAATAGTAAAGAAATACCATGAGGGCTATAATTTGTCGCTGAAAGATGACATTTTTACCCATTTTGTCGCTGTTATATCAACCAGCTGTCCAGTGAAAAACGACTGGAAAGTCACAAAGCTGGCGCTAAACATAGCGTACCTCCAAATAGAAATGGCCCAGAAGGACAATTATTTGTCGCTGAAACATAGTACTTTTACCCATTTTGTCGCTAATCTCATTCTCCATCTGTCTGACGAAAAACGACAAAAGAGCTGTGAAAGTGGCACTACAGATAGCGAATTCCGAAACAGAAAGGGACATAATTTGTCGCTGAAAAATGGTACTTTTACCCATTTTGTCGCTGTTATATCCACCAGCTGTCCAGCGAAAAAGGACTGGAAATCCACAAAGCTAGCACTACACATAGCTATCTTTAAATAGAAATGGCGCAAGAGGGACTATAATTTGTCGCAAAAGCATGGTACTTTTACCCATTTTATCGCTAATCTCATTCTCCATCTGTCCAACGAAAAACGACAAAACTGCTGTCAAGGTGGCACTACAGATAGCGTACATCGAAGTAGAAAGGGCCATAATTTGTCGCTGAAAGGTGGTACTTTTACCCATTTTGTCGCTGGTATATCCACCAGCTGTCCAGCGAAAAACGACTGGAAATCCACAAAGCTAGCACTACACATAGCTATCTTCAAATAGAAATGGCGCAAGAGGGACTATAATTTGTCGCAAAAACATGGTACTTTTACCCATTTTATCGCTAATCTCATTCTTCATCTGTCCGACGAAAAACGACGAGAAGTGTCAAGGTGACATTACACACAGGGTTTCTCAAAATAGAAGGGATTATAGGTACTTTGTCACTGAATGATGCTACTTTTACCCACTTTGTCAGTAGTCTATCCACCACCTAGCTAGCACTACATATAGCGTATAGCAAAATGGAAATAACGTAGAGAAATACCATGAGGGCTATAATTTGTCCCTGAAATATGGTACTTTTACTCATTTTGTCGCTAATCTATCCTCCAGCTATCTAGAGAAAAACGACTGTAACAACAAAATGGGTAAAAGTATCATCTTTCAGTGACAAGATAGCGAAAAATTTTAGCCCATACAGTATTCGTCTGTGCCATTTCTGTTTTGAGAGACAGCTGGAGATTCGTATCAGCTAGAGCGACAAATTTTTCGATTTAGTAACAAATTGGCGACAAATTAACGACAAATCACAGGGCATTTTAAAAATGAGAAATATAACTTCGTTGAAATACACATTCATATGTAAGTTTCCAGAGAAAAACTTCATTATAAAATTTGATATTAGGGACAAACTTATATCCCTAACAAAGCAAAAAATAAAAACCATTCGCCGTTTTTTAAAAAATAGACCGTACTATCTGATCACACTAAAACAAATTCATTGTAGATGGGTAAACCACTTTCATGGTACCTAAAAGCAATTGGACTGGACAGAATGAAAGAACATAAATTCTTCAGTCAGGGCAGTGATCCAACACAGTGTTGGCCTTGAATCTATTTTTATACACAATGTATGCAAATAAAATAAGGATAATTTTTAGAAAACAGGAAATGATAGTTAACTGAAACATTTCCTATTTCCTTCCACAGTTTTTTTTTACCAGGTCATTTTGAGTTATCTGTTAAACTAAGAGAAATTTAAAGCTAATTGAAATAGCAAGAGCAACACTAACCATATGTGACTTGTGTATCGATTAGATTAGTGTACATTGAACACTAAAACGGTTTATATTTTCTACTCACAATCAGCAATGAACAATAATTATTTAAACTGTCATTTATTAATTGGTGCAAATTGATAATTGATACTTGTTTGTGTTATTGTCAAACTGCCTGTCCTATAAATGACTACAAAAACTGTAAAAGTGTAGTAATAATTAAGTAACACTTACTTTTGCCTGTAACGCATATGCCTGGGGCTAAGGTTGGTATTAAAATGATCACTCTTGAGCATGATGGTGTTATTTTTGCCAGTTTGAGTTGGAGAAATTGTCATTTTAGTGCGGTATGAAACAGTTAGTTGCAATGTACCTATTGGTGTACACAACTGACCCACCCTCACTTGTTTATAACCATCACCAAGCACATGTAACTGAGCATCACCCATGTAAATTCGATAACAAATAACGTATGAGTCTGGTCCCTGTCTTCGAGATAGTTTATATGCCGGTGTCACCCGGGTAACTGACACAAGGGATTTTAAAAGGATTCCCATACGGTTATAAACTGTATGAGTTACACGCACTGCAGGATCACACTGTTCTGGTAAAATACTAAGACACCATGACTCTAGCACTAAATGATCACCATCTACTGTTCTTAAAGAAATCTCGACACACATTGGCAATCTGGCTGTTGCTGCTTCTCCATTAAGAGCTTTTTTGGTTTCTTTCAAAACATCAGGTAGATCTGGAATAGCCAAATTAAACTGAAACAAATAAAAGGATTAGAAAATAATGAAAGTCTTTTTACAGCATACTTCTAAATGTAAAATGAAATACAATAACACCTACCCAATCTGTTCCAGACGTGGGTTTACACTCTGTTGAAACTTTTTCGCCAAGCCTGGATTGTACAATAACTTGAGCAGCCTTTAGAGCCAAAAACTTCGTAAACTTGTCCAGGTCCTTCCTGTCCTGACTGCTAAGTTTCATTGCCATTGTCACCATATTATCCACTTAATTTAAAACGTGTCGATTCACAAAATCAGTGAAAAAGTTTTCAAGTCACATACCAGTCGAATACAATGACAGTAACCAATAATAAATAGAAAACCTTTAAACTACAATATTACATATGACCACACTTTGACATATACATAAAATAGACAATTAACCGCTCAGTGTTTACAACACGAATTTGAAAACACAACTACTGATCAACAATTAGCTGTTACACAAACTTGATAACCGTCACGTACGTCATGTCACGGCACCACTTACTTCTCCTACCAGCTATTTTGCGATCACTGAAAGCCAACAAAAGGGCGTGGAAAATGCGATTCATGCTAAGATCGTTTAAATGATTTCTACGTACTTTTCTTCAAAATTCTAAAAAAATAGACAATATTTCCATCTAACGCTTTAAAAGAATCCCCTTATTACACATGACATCACTTATTTTTAATTAATAGCGAAATAGATTTCAATTGCACCACATCGTTACTTCACTTACGTGATTTAACATGTTATTATTAATGCGTTCTGATCCAAATTTTAAATAACACATTTGCCCCTAGTTTATTTTTGTTTGTAAATCTGTTGTTTTGTTATTAAAGAAGAATAGTTAGAATTATTGTTTAAAAATGATCTTAATGTAAATAATTTAAATTCAATTTTAGGAACTAAAACTATCTGTTCCATATCATTGTTCCTCCTGTTATTCAATATCAGTTCCAATTTAACGCCCTCTGGTAAGTGGCGCCGCTAAGCTGAAACTATTTGCACTTCTTCCAATAAAGCTCTGCTACTTAGCCACTTTTCATTGGTCGAGATGGCTTGCCACCATTTTGTTTATGAACTGTTTGACATTAGACATCCAAATATTCTTATTATTAGTGCATTTTCATAAATTTTAATAATTTCAAGATATTTTTATAAAAGACTTCTTTCTTAGTAACATACTTTTGGTTCCGGGTGAAGATTTTGTTTTATTTTCCAAGGTAAGTTATTAAATAACGCTAACTTCTCGAAACTTTACGTAAGCATCATTGTATAGTGGACGCTGTTGTGAATGCTGGTTTTTAAAACGAAGTTATTAATTGTTCTAATAGCTCTCATTCAGGTGTAACATTTTAGTGGATGTGAAGTCTACATGAGTGCAAAATGAAGGATAAATCCAACACTACAAATGTGGTGATTAGTTCTGGGAATATTGGTTATCCTCCAACATAAAGGGCGTTCAGTTCTTTATACAGGTGTAATTATTGTTTAAGTGTAATAATTTACTTAATTTCTGTTGAATTTAAACCATGAGACCACGAAATACTACATAAGGAATATTGTGTTATCGTAGTAGGAGCTCCACTTTGGACTTCAATTCTTTCAGTTGACGTAGTATCTATTAAGTGCCTCTAAAGGCTATAAGCTTTACTGCATATGTATTCATTCATTTACAGCAGTTCTTTGATTGCAAGTCCTGGATCTGTCTTTCTATATTACACATACGTACATATATTTATCCTTTAAACTGGCCCCAACAGTATTAAGAGAAGAAATTACTCTGCATAAATATGTGGACACAACTTTCTAATACATGTTGTATTTGAATAAACTACACACCTATTATATTAACTGGCATTTAATATTAAATAAAAAAGAGGGTCGCAAGAATTCATGCTTGGTAGTAACATAACTGTACATATTATGTTACATACAGTTATGGTTTGCTAGATTACTCTAATTTTTAACTAATTTTATGTTTATTACTTTTAATTCAATGACATTGTTTTATTTAATTTCTTATGGGTAAGCTGTGTTGTACTTATATTATTACAATACGAAGCAGCTTATGCTGGTTAAGTTACTCAAATTAGCTTTCAATTAGAGTGTCTTCCATTTGTTTCTGTACCTTTTAGTCTTTAGTGCATATCTGAACAGTCTAAATACGTTGAAATATTTGTCATTCTAATTTTTGAAAGGATTTGTGTCCTCATTTTTGTAAGGTAAACATTTGGCATCGTTTCTGTTGTTAAATTTCGTATATTGTATCACTTTTTTCTAATTGATGAAATAAGCTGATAATTAATTAAAAATAGTGGATTACCTACTATGAATGTTTGCTCGCATTAAATATTCACAATAAGACATAAGTAAAACTAATAGTTGTTTTAACTAATTGCAAAGTTTATTAACACCAATGTCGAATGCTACTTAAACTTTTAAAAACCATAAAATAAATTTTTTATTTATTACAAACTTTTTGAAAGTTTAAGCTTAAGAAATAATTTTATAAACGATTATTTTCTACATTAATAAATCTTTCACAATCAGCGATTAAAACGCTAAAAAAAGCTACGTGTATTCAAATTAAGCCTAAATTAACAACAAATAAACTGGAAAATGAATTGTTGGAAGGATAAATATATTTAGATTGTGGATGGGAAAACATTTTTTTTATCGTTCTGCTTTTATGAATGGGATTGCAAAGAAGACTTGAGAACATAGTTTATTCCTACAAAGGTCGTATTGTTTTCGTATGTAACAGTGGGTAGGCTTTCACGATCAGCATTTATTGTTCTCTTGTCGACATATGAATTATTCTAAATATATGTAATGTTTGCTGCTACTTTTATTATCCAATGCCTTCTTTTGGTCTGCTATTTTTGTGTGAAAATAAAAATCGTTTATAATATTATATATAAAAGAAGTAATATTACGTAAGTGAAAGTTAGTACCAGCAATTTCTTATTCGGAAGTGTACGATGTGTCGCATACCTATTTACAAACAATTCCTTTAAATTTTAACCATTGATTACTATATATCTATTAAAAAACCATAATGGCCGACATCAGTGACAATGCGACAACAATTGAAAAAGAATGATGGCCGACAACAGCAACAATTAGAAAATAATGATGGCCGACATCGGTAACAATGCGACAACAATTGAAAAAGAATGATGGCCGACAACAGCAACAATTAGAAAAGAATGATGGCCGACACTACGTCATAGTGGAGCAATAAAAATGGCCGACTATTGACAATACGAATAAACNGGCTAACATATATATAAAAAAAATTATGAGTGCTTTCAGCACAGGGCAAATCCAACTCTTGCTCTCTAACTATCGGTGTCACTGATGTCAATGCTTTAAAGCGCATGAATATAAACAATTCTAATCGAAACGTTCTTCAAACAATTTTTAACACAATGAAAGTGATTAAACATATTGTTCACAAAAGTGAATTTCGACCACTCGAAGCAATGGTGCTAACAGTTTCGAGCTCACAGGGACTGATAGGGGGGAAGAACTAGCATATAATAATATAAATATAAATATGCTGAAAGTAGCGTCGTATCACAAAATTAAGAATGTTTTTGTTTAAACATGTACTATTTTGAAACAGATAATAGCGCTAAAAATAAGAATAATTAAGAAAAAGGAGTAGAACATGCACTTCCGCGGCTAGTGTGTCTATTCGATGTCTGATCGTTTTGATTGATGAAGCTACTGAACATTTTTTCTCAGATAAACTTGCAATGAAAAAAGCGAAAAATGTATGGTTGGATCTAAATAAGTTTCAAATCCTAATAATAGCAACTTATTATTGCTTTAAAACTACCACTAATAATACTGATTGATTTTACCAATTCATAATGAATTAACTTTGTTTATTATTGAGTAATACATGTCCTTAACACAAATGTGTTATCTTAATTTATGCACATAAATGTTTCGTTTATTGGTTGACTTATCTTCAGTTTCAATGCTGTTAAATTTTATTTAAAATTAAATAGTAGTTCTTCAAGGAGAACACAAAAGGGCGAATGAACTTAATACAGTATACCTAAATTACTCTATTAAGTTTTCATATTTTCACTAATAATTTCACAAATAAATAAGTTATTATCCTTATCTATTCCTGAAAATAGTTTCTAGGGCGTTGACTAACGTAAATTCTATAACAAGCTCAAGTCTGTTCTCCATTTCTTCCCTTTAGTTTGGATATGAATAAGCAAACAATTTAGGCAGTTAAAGATTAACTATCTAGATTTTTGCTTTTTCAAGTCTGTACCTTAAGGACTTAGGGCAACGGTGAGTCTTCTCGATGGGAGCAACTACTTTCGCTTGTACTCCATCTGACTACGCGCAGTCTACAGAGTGGTGTCTTGTAGAAAATCAATCGATATAAAAGTGTCATTAATCAATAATTTGATGAAAAAGATCATAATCATTTGAAAGATTTCTGTCGTTTTCGATAAAAAAAAGGTGCTAACTTGTGCCCAAATTAGAAAAGGCTGTACTTCCCAGTTAAGAGTAGTACATCACCAGTCTGATGGGCGATTTATTTAAATTACCTATGGCGTGCGGATGAGAACTAATAAGTTCGATAAATTACTGTGTAAGAACTTAATGTTCCTTATAGAAAAGCTTAGTTTAAAGAGAATATCATGTACATAAATAATGTCTTCTACCCCCAAAGTTGGTTGCACCGTTGAACTATTGCCACTATTGCATGCAAATCAATCTTATATATAATGGGATGGTTTGATTTCCAAATCTGTTCGAAAAAAAAATAAAAAATTGACAAAATGCCTTTACCGCTAATTAATTCTGAAGCATATTGAAAGAAAGGATTTGTAGCTTATCGTATAGATCTCACTCGTTTCGTATTTAAATCGTATTACCTAAATTGAGATTATGATCCTGTTGGCGTTAAAATAAATTTGTTGAACCTCTTGACGCATTCTTTAACAACTTCTTTTAAATTTATTCCTTCTTCACTGAATTTAAAAAAAAGTAGTACATAGGGGATGCCCATAATCATGGGACTCTATAAGAAGAGAGGGTATTGATAAAAGGCTATTTTGAAACACAGATTTGCTTTCATTTATTGAACGAGAGACATGAAAATGCTGATAAAAACAACCACGTTATTTACAGGTAAGTCATCGATGGTACTTTTCTCTCTCTTTCTAGTCTGAGTACTAAAAAATTTAGGTTTTTTAAAATGAAATAGGAAAATTCTACAAACACGGTTTTCAGTATAAAATATTTCTCTTTTTCTCTTAGATGAGAAAAAAGATTGTTCAATGCTTTATTTGATCATGAAAATAGGATGGTTCTGTGTAATTGTTACTAATGTTGCCGTCCCTTCACTTAAAATTTGCTTTGTCCTTATTATTACACAAAATAAGGGTAAATATTAAGTTGAACTTCAGTGATTCTACAAGGGTGCTGTCGAGATTAGCGGTTTTACCTTCGGTTTATTACTGCATCAGTATATTGGCTAATAAAATGCTTTATCTAAGGACCAATAGATTTATAATTTTGGGTTTTAAACAAAATGTTTGTGATAAAGTCAATGGATTTTATGGGAATGATTGTTAAACATTGTAATATCAAAACAAAGGATGCTTTTTTGGCTACATTTTAGAAAATCTCCAACAGTATTATTTCGACCTCTCGGTTACCATCGAAGAGTACTCTAAAGAAACAAACTTGTGCTTCTTTGTTTTGCTATTAAAATGCTTGTGAATGACTCAGGTCTTGCACGTTAATTTTGTGGTGGTGCTATAATAAAATACTGTTTTATTATGGACTCAAGTTGATATTAATTATAACTTGCTGTCCAGCTTTATTACAAATGAGTAATCACTTATACTAAAATGAACTTGAAAACAGAGCGTATTATAAGGATTTCATGCAAACTTCCCTTTATAATTGCACTCGTTTATCACATCCAAATATCGCCAGTCCCTAGAGTATGCTTACAACCAATTTATATTGAATTTCTGCTGATAGTAGTCTTGGTTAAATAATAAATAATAATTCTCAATGAGCTAGTCTTATAGAAATAAGGTTTTGTTTTTGAAAGAATTTCCTTTCTCCAAGCTACCTTTAGAGATAAAATCGATAGTCACCTAAATTCCGAGAAGATATACGTATATAATTAGTTGCATTTCACATGAAGCCGCTAGAGGAAGTCAGACATTTTAACATAAATTGTTTCATGCAAGATGGCGTGTGGACGCCATTATGTTTGTTCAAGACGGCGTACTTTGAGAGCTAATTTAATAAGTATAGTATAAGGCTGATTTTCTACGTTGTTGACTAAAACTTTCAGTCACATCTTACGGGAACGACTTGTTTTACTAATATTGAGAAAAGGTCGTGTATGACGGCGTGTGATTCTTATTGCCCAGATAGGGTAAAATGTGTATCGAAGAGAAATTACACATTTATTTGTCACGTCTATCCGAAAATATCACCTGCTTCTCTAAAAGCTGATCTAACCCAACCGAACTGTCAAAATCTTTTGAGCAAAATTGTATTTATTGGACTTACACTTATTTGTCCAATGCGACATGTACTTATAAGAACTTAAGCCAGTTTAATGAGTATAAGATACTTGTTTTCGTCGTTATTGAGTAACCAACATTCACATCTCGCGGGAACTAGTTTACTGATACTTAAAATAAAGTATCATGGACGAGTCCAGACTTTTACCTACACCATGGACTGTTGAGACTGAATTGGTTTTAACATCAATTCTGGACCTTTTCCCCCGATTGCTCTCCACAACAGTGAAAACGTTGTCGAGGAATATGAAGTATTTCCTAAGTTTAAAGTATTTATAAACACCGTGTATCTCATCACTCTTGGTTAAAACATAACTCACAATAAATCCGGATGTAATAGTGAAAACGTTATAAAAATCGGTCTAGTGGTTCTCGAGTTGCATAGTAACAAACCGATAATCAATAAGATGCTTTTCTAGAAGTTGTAGTACTCTACTAACTACAATTAGACAGTTGTAAGCTTTACAAACTAAAATGTGCCTAAGTATTCTTAAAATGGATATTAGTATGGATTGCGTTCTTGGTAATGAAAACCAAACTTTAAAGTATGAATCAAAAGGACTTAAATATACTTTCTGCAAAAAAAAGATAATAGAAAGTTGCTATTTTTGAGCCAATTACTTTCCTGTTTTATCAAAATTGATTCTGAAACATCAATTTTGAAAGAGGAAGGCATTCATTGGAAGACGCTTTTAAAAAATTGATGAGTGATAAAATACTGGGATTAATATCTAGTTATGGTAGTATATCGTTGTCAAATGAAGTATTTCTTATGTTAGTCAAGGATCTTAATAAGTTATCTACTTGTCCAACGCAGCCTATACAGAAGGCCAATAGGTATAGGCTCCTAGCATCGCCGATTCAAAATCAGTTGGAGAAATAGATACCTTGGTAAGGCCCTTGTGTATCATATGAAACACTTCAGTTAACAGCAGAAATCAGTGTGCTCTTTTTAAGCGACCCCTTCGATTTGATCGATGCTTTATCAAAAAATTATTGATCAAGGATTTCTTTGTTCTTATTCATAGTGGGATTGTTTAACTAATTATTTATTCATTGTCCACGATGGAAATGCCTGAGTTGACGACAGGCCTAAACCTAGGCCAATAGTGGGAAGTCAAACATAGGCTTGTCAATCTGCAAATGCCAAGGCTAGATACATGTTTTGCCAAGTTTGGTCCACTACTGGGACAGTCAAGCATTGGTTTGTCAATATAGGTCCAAAATTCGGACAATTTTCAAATGCCAAGGCTAGGTTTATTAACGTTTTACCAAGTTTGATCAATTATTCTGCAGTCAAGAATGGGTTTGTTAATACTGGATCAAAGAATCTTGGATTAATTTTGTTTATCAAGTTTTGGCATAATATTAGCTGCCCACTCGAGTTAATATTGTTCGAAAAGTCTTGGCCCAATCTTGGATTAGTTCACCAAGTCTTGGTTCAGTACTGGCTATCGAGTTGTGGACCAAACTTGGGCTGAAGTGGTAAATCAGGCATTTGCCATGCTTGGTCCAATATTGGTTGCCAATCTCCAGAATTGGACAATCTTGGGCCAAGCTGTCGTGAGTTCCTACATGGGGGTTGTAATTCGTCTAGGTCATTGTTAAAAGAAAAATTCTACTAGTGACAGGAGCAATCCCAGTGTTTTCTGTTGCTCATCAATTCTTTAAACTTAGCAAAAACTTATTAAGATAAAGAAAATACGCTCTCAAAATTCAACACTGAACGTCAACTACTTACGGTTTTAATTTTGTTGTGCACCTGTTTTGAGAAGATTATTCATTAATAAAGCGGACACTTCAGCTGGACAAAGGACATTTTGTTACTTTTCCACAAAAAAAGATGGACTTCATCGTCGAAGATTTTTCAACGAATTTGCTAAAGGTCTAGTACGATAGCTTTCTCTTTTTCAAATCTCCTATGTTTCTCACCGAAGGATCTAAGGAATTATCGATATAATTTAAGGAAGAATTAAAAGAAGACATAACAATTTGTAGTAGTGCTTAAGTCAATTTTTAGAAAATCTAAATGACTAAAAAAACAAGTATCTATACAAATGACCTACAAGAAGATAATTCTTTTAACAAATATTGTTTTAAAAAAATATCAAAATAAACTGTTTTAATAAAATGTATTATTTAACTAGAAATACAACAATAAAGTGTATTTAGGCGTCGTATTGGTGTTTTATTTATCTCTCTTATTATTTACTATTTACTGGACGAAATAAATGAGAGTCAAGTGTTACAAAACAAAAATTTTTTTGAGTCTGCATGCTTCTCCTCTACGTTCTAGGTTGTAACTCCGACTCGAAATGAGCGTGATTATAAGGTTGCAGAATCTTCCCTGGTCAGCAAATGCCCTAGATATCCGTCAATTTTTTCAAGGATTAAGCATTCCCGAAGGAGGTGTTCACATCGTAGGAGGAGAACAAGGAGATGCGTTCATTGCTTTCAGGTAGAGATTAAATAAAGGAAGACGTTTGAGTTTCATTAAATGTTTTGTTTTTTAATATCCGTTTGCAATTTTATACTCACAGTAGGTAACATATAAACTGCTTTTGACCAAAAAGAAAAATAAAAAGATTGTGTCCTTTGCGATATCTAACTTGCAGTGGTCAGAATATTTTTAGATAGAGATAGCAGAAGTCTTGGAGTTCTCTGAAACTATTAATAGATAATATTTTTGTTGAGAAAGAAGTTAAAAAAATAAGTAAATATTTTGTTTTCTTTGTATTTGTACAAATACCTCTTGCACCTATTTGGTAGTACATCTTCTAAATTCTTCTTACGTATGAAAAATTTCGTCCTCATTAAAAAAAAAACCACTAAGTGTCTTAACTATTGACTTAAATGAGAAGTTTAAAAAATATTGTTGAATATAAAATTCTGCAACTGTAATTAGATGTTTTCATAATAATTTTATAACTACGCGTCGATAAATCCTACCGTTACGGTCCTGCTGATAATGAGAAAACACTAAACGGGCTCTAAATATTTACTACCTTTTTTTGTATATTCTACCAACCCACTCCGACTGATTTTGAATAAAATAATGCCTAGTAAACTGTTAACAACTTAGTAATCATAGTTAGAGTATGTCGTTTCTTTTGCAGTACGGACGAAGATGCTCGTCAAGCGTTTAATCGAAACGGAGGTAAAATTAAGGAAATTCAAATCAAACTTATGCTCAGTTCTCGAACAGAAATGCAAAAAGTAATTGAAGCGGCTAGAAATCCGCTTGCAGCGTTTATGCAAACTCCCCAAACGAACCCACCTCTCACCCCCATCATGCCAGCAGTAGTACCAGCTGCGGTCCCCGAAGTTAAAAAAGACGATAACTCAAAAGACAAAGACCGTAGAAGTAGAAGAAGATCGAGATCGAGATCTAGAGATCGTAAGGACAGGTCTAGAGATAGAGATCGACGCGACAGACGTCGAAGAGATCGAACTCGATCCAGATCTAGAGATCGAAGAGATCGACGTCGTCGGGATCGCAGCCGTAGCCGAGATAGAACTCGTTCTAAAGAAAGAGATCGTAGAAGCAAAGATCGAAAGCGCTCAGAAGAAAAAACAAACCCTTCATTAGGAAATTCTAACAAACCAGCAGTAATTGGCGTATGGGAACCGCCCCCAATGGATCAACCGCCGCTACTGATGGCTAATCAACAGCATGCCGTTGGACTGTTGAACAACTTGGTCGGGAATTCTCTGGAAGAACTTAGAAGGAACATGACAGGCTTAAAACCGTTAGGCGGTTTGACTGATAAGCCTGATTTTCAAGCGAACCCTAACCTTTTGCTTCAACCTAATAGGGAATCCTGGCCTCCTGGTGGGCTACCCTTTCGTCCAGATGGACGACTCAACTTCCAGAATATGCCCAATAGGAGTGCAGATGATACCAACTTAAATTCTATGGGCAACAGACTCTTTAACAATCGTATGGACGGAAATGGTCCTCAACCCAGGAGTCTTCTAGGGAGACCGATGAACAAATTCAATCCAATGAATGATCGTCAACAAAACACGCCTATGCAAAATTCCTGTGTACAGGTCCAGCCCTTTTACGGTGGCTACAGCGAAATTCGCCGGTTTTTCCATGGACTCTTTATCAATAACACAGGAATAAAGTTCGTCAATGACGAATACGGAAAACGCACCGGGATAACGTACGTTCGTTTTTTCTATCCCGAAGACAAAGAAGTGGCTCTAACAAAAGACGGCGGCATGATAAGAGGCAACGTTGTCGAAGTAAAACATCTTGACGACGAAGTTTTCAACGAAACCGTAGACAGATATGTTCCGGATGAACAGAAAGACGGTGAAGTGGGACACCAAGGTGGTGGTGGTGGTGGTCCTCCACAGAACTTCAGGGGTGGAAGAAACGGAAGAAATTTTGTTCGCGGTTCTCAACAACCCAATTTCATCCCTTCGCCAAAAGTGTTTTCCTGTTTAGTCGTTGAAGATCTTCCGTCTTATGCTAAAGAACAGGACATTTTGAAAATTTTCGGCGAATATCCGTTAATGTCGATAATAATGACGAATAAACACAAATGTCACATGGCGTATGTTAAATTTAGTAATTCCGATGACGCTAAAAAGGCCCTTAGTGAAAAACAGGTGCAGGCTTTCGACGGGAAGCCGGTTAACGTGAGGGCGTGTTCGGACGACGAGTTTAATAAAATCAGTAGAGAGCAAGACGACGAAGAAGAAGAGAATGAAAATGACGATGACGTGCAAATTGTGGAAGAAAAAGAATTTCCTTCGGTCGAATCGACATTTATCGACATCAGTGGATTGCCATTAAAAACTACTGATCGTGATATCGTAGACTTTTTTTCTGATATAGGGGTTGCACCGGAAAAAATTCATTTACTAAGTAATCATTTAGGTTTCACCGGCACTGCCTACTGCGAGTTTGCCTCTCTACAAGATGCAGCTGCTGCTGTAGAAAAGGACGGGATTCCTTTAGGTCCCAAAGAAGTTTCCATCACTTCAATTTCAAAAGAAGAAATGGAATCTAGATTAGGGATTTTGTCACAAAGCGCTCCTCCTCCAGTTCCTATAATTCACCCTCCCGTTCCCCATTTCTTTCCCAGAAACAATTTCATGCCCAGAGGCATGGGTCCTAGGGGTTTCATGCGTAGATTCCACCATCCCCATATGCTTCCTCCACCTCAGCACGGAGGTGACGTTGGCATTCCCGGATGCACTGTATTGATGGAAAACGTTCCTTATAAAGCAGGTTTAGATGAAATTCTTCAGTTCTTCGATGGATTCGACATACCTCCGGACAACGTTTTGAGAAGATATAACGAAAATGGCACTCCTTCCGGTGAAGCAAAGGTCATATTTACGAATCACGATCAGGCCAAGAAGGCGGTAGAACAGAAGCGATTCCACAAAATTAGAGAACGCACCATATACTTGACGTTATGCTGACCTTCGAAGGTTACCGAAAACGAAAAGGACGATAAGTGAAAACGCAATATTGCAAAGAGTTGTGAGGTTTTAGTTCAGTTTTATACTCTACGAATATCATCTATGTAATTTATGTATGTATAACAACTCGGTCGTTCGCTTTTAGGTTTCAATTGGATTAAGTACGTCAGCCAATTATGGATTATGCGATTATTTTTGTATGTACCTTGTATGGATTAGTTGTTTAGATGAAAGGATATTATTATAGTTTGTAGATGTATTCGTACCAAATAAATAACGTGTCTGTATTTTTTTTTATTATTTTATCTTGAATCTTCTTCTTCATGTGTTTTTGTCATAAAGTCCAGTAGGAGCCAGAATAAGGATTTCGTAAAATACACGAATTGGACTAATTGGATGATACCGAACGAAATATCTGCAGATTTACATCAATCATTACTACATTTTTAATTATTTTCTTCATGCTTTATCATTTAGCTTTTGTCTATTCCTTCATGGCCCAAAAAAATAGTTCTTCCTTTTCAATTTGATATTATTAGCCATTGTGTTTTTTTTTTGTACCAAGTTTTGGTCTTATCTACATGATAACCATTCAAGCATTTTGCCACACCAAAAATCAATATTAACAATTGAAAGATCGATATATGTATAGAATCACTTTGAACTGCCGATAGATGTTTTGCATAACAACTGATATTCCATATAGATTTGTACAATTGCTTCGAATGGCGACTATAAATTAAAGAAATTGTCCAAAATTTCCATTTTCTTGTTAAGTCTTCGTAATGAAACCTGTGGTGGTGATTTTTTATTTAGTAATTTTAATAACTCAAGGTAGGTGACATACAAATATAACTTTAATAAAAAATTAAAACAAGATAAATAATAATTATGGTATTTTGATTTTTTTAATAAGATTAATCTATTTTTCGAGAATATGCATTAAGGGGAAGAGATAATAAGACTTTTATGTGATTGTGAAACTTATAAAACGAAAGGGATACATTTTAGATGCATTTCCCACAAAGGTGGATAAAACAGACGTTGGTTATGGAAAGCGAGCTAATACTTATCAATTTCCCTACGTAGCTTCTTTACAAATAATGAAAAAGTTGTTGGGGGCAACAGAATATTTTCATGTTTGTTCTGGTGCCATAGTTTCGAATAGTTGGGTACTTACTTCCGCCAGTTGCCATTTCTTACTTCGAAGGGATTTTAGAGTCGCTGTTGGCATTTTAAGTTCACGAGCTGTAGGAACGCATGGGGCCCAGTACAGAAATGTTACTCGTATTGTTGAACATCCGTTTTGGATAGGGTAAGTATACAGGAAATAAGAAATTAATCATAGCTGGGTAGCCTTTCACGAAAAAGTAAACAATTTAATTTATAAAATTGCTTTATGATACGAAATTCAAAGATCTTCAAGTCTTTATATTTTAAAATGTAATTGGGGCTTTAACTGCTAAGCTAAACCACTTTAAGTAAGAGCCTTTAGTTCAATGCTTGGAACACTTTTGGTGAGAACTTTGCTCAGCTGTAAAGTTAACAATATACCAAATAATTTCAATCAATCAAGTATAAATAGTTTTCTAACTTGTAGTGGAAATGGTTTAACTTCGTTCGATGTTTCGTTGATTAAACTTGGGTTTCCGTTGATCTGGACTAAATCGGTTAAGCCAGTATTGCTTCCGGATTCAAAGCAGCAACATTTCGGGACAGCTGTTGTTGTTGGCTGGAATTCTGCAAATCTTTCAAACAAAAACTTTCTCAAATACGCAGTCGTTGAAATAATCGACAGCATTGGTAATTCACTATCATATTTTAACAGTTTTCTAGTACGCCAGTTTCTTTTTTGTTATAAACTCTAACCATTTTTAGAATGTCATTATGGCATAGTCCATGCAGTAGGTCTGGTTTCGACGCCAAAACTGTCCAATGATATGCTATGTACAAAAGGAAATTATGATTCAACGGCTTGTATTGTCGACAGCGGCAGTCCTCTGATAAGGCATGGGGTTCTTGTTGGAATTGCTTCATGGATTTCCGATTCATGTCCACGAAAGAAAGCTCCATTCGTTTTTATAAAGGTCAGAAGCGTTCTCGACTGGATCATGACAGAATTAAAAACCCCTTGATAATATTAAAATTTTTGTTAACTTAGATACCAATTAAACAATTGTACGAATAAGAAAAAGACTTTGAATACACAGTAGTGTCTACTTCATCAATGGTATCAGTATCACATGGATACTCCATTTGAACTGTTTAATAAGTAGAATCTAAGAACTGACGATTTCTTATGGGTAAATAACACGATTTTCTGCTCACACCATTGAGTGTCTGCCTTCAAAAATAGGAGCAGATCTTCAGTTTACTTTACATGAACTCAATTTTCTACATTTAAGACTTTAGACTCATACTGCTCTAATAATTAGACGACATTATTATTAAATAGTAAGTCATTTGAGTGTGTATCATCATGCATCGAAAAAAGAAACAGGGATTGCAAACAAATTTTAAAAAGTATGATGTGTGCTTCTGGTAATTGATTTTGTGTACCTACTCGTTTCCAAAAAAATCTTTAGTTGAATATAACAACCTCTCGTAATTTCGAAGACGCTAACATGTAATCACTGAACCCATAATTTTAGGTAGACGGGTCAGATGGAGGACGGGTAGGTTATGAAATTTTAATGGTTTGTTATCTTAATACCAGTAATCAGCATCAGGATACTTGCATGCTAAATATTTGATTATTATCTACCGTCTCAAACTGAAATTTTATTTCACATTCGGGGGTATTTTTTGTCTAAAAGCAACACGCTAAAGATTACCATGACTTTACAGCAATCAACAATAAAGACGTGAACAATATTTCAAGATAATAATGAATATTAACTATCCAGGTAATGAAAGCCTGTCTATGGCGTGATGATGAGATCTAATAAGATGTCCAAGAACTTAATCAGGTCTTGAACCTAAAATTATTGTGTTAAACTTTCTCTTGGAAAGCAGCCATTCTTTCTTCCCATTCGAACTATAGATACTTTGAAACAATTGAATCAAATCATTTCTTTTTTGTTGTTTCTAAATAAATTGATAACGAGGCAAAATGCTCATTATTTGAAGCACTCACATTCTTTTTGGAATGTTTCAAAAATTTTGGATGGACCATCATATTTAGATGACCCTGTATGTAATGTGTCTTAGGTATATCTTATATTATATAATGGATCTATGTGATGCTAAGCGTGTGTACATAAATCCGTTCCCCAGCACGAATTTCTTTGGCCCGAAGCATCGCTGATCTCACTCAGAGCTGGGCTTTAGTTGTATGTAAACTTTCAGCAACACAAACTTGATTTCAGTATTCAGTTTCACTGTTTCATATCCATTCACATCAGTTCCATTGCGAGTGTTGCGAAGGATTGTTGATGTGTGACGCTCACAACTTCCACCAGAATATCACGGCGTTTACGATTCTGATTCGATGTGTGAAAATGTGATGAATTAAACTGACTGTCAAATAAATTAAAATATATAATGCGCTCTTCGATTTCGTTCTTTTTCGTCCTTTGTTGCCTGGCGGAATTTGTTTCGGCACAATACAGGAATCTAGCCCCGTCAGTCTGTCCGTCTTCATGTATTTGTTATCGAAGGAATGTCCGATGTGTGAAGAAGGATCTTCAGGAAATACCGAAAGTTCCTGTCTTAACAAATATCCTGTAAGTAATCGTACGATTTGAAGAGAGCAGCCCGTTCTGAAATACCTGAGGCCAAAAGATTTTGTTTTATTTTTGTATCATTTTCAAAAATAACTACATGCAGATGTTCAGTATGGAATATGATCTAATTCTGCAGAGTTTTTAATGTTGCATATTTTTTTCGGAACGGGTTTAACACAAAAGAAAGACGCGCAATTATATTCATCGTTACATGGAACCTTAAACTTATTGTAGATATAATTTAATTTTAGAATAATAATAATAAAGAATTTATGAGAAAATAGAACAAACATTCACAAAAAAGCCATTAAATTGAAAATAATTTACCGTCTAAATTTAATCTACTGCCACATCACTTTACAGAACAGAAATGTAATAAAATGATATCAAATTGTAGAAATTATCGGAAAAGTCATTAAACTTTTATTATTCTCAAATTATAGTAAAAATAAGTAAACGTTCATCTATTAAAAGATGACCTCAGAAGAAATAATTATTTTATTTTCCATTTCTTCTAAAACACGTAATTTTTCATGCATTTGTTATTTACAAAGTAATCAATAAATAAGCTAAACTGCAAATCAATAAGTGC